TAGCCACCAAGGGTATTTTGGTCCATTCAAGCCAAATTTTTTGCTATAAATAGGCATTCCCTCCCCTTCATTTTCAGCCAAGCAAGGATCTATAGGGGAAACTCTGCCACTCTTGCATCTAGAGAGAGAAAGAGCTATTTCTAGTGAGAGAAAGTCCACCTAAGTTCAAGCTTCAAGATCAAGGTATGTGGTGGCTGTAGCATCTGATTTGATGCCTATTTCGAATTATTTACTGTTCATATCTGATTCTTAAATTTGGCATGCTTAAAGTACACTCTGTGAGCTTTAAATCTATGGGTAGAACACTTCATTTGGATATGTGTACGATTTATGGTGATGTTTCAAAGTTAGGGTTTGAAATCTGGAAACAGTGTTAAGCTTTTGGAAGGGTGTTAAGTTCCGTACAATTCTGGTACTGTTTGGAGTATAATTGGTTCCTGAAACTATTTTTCCTTTAAATTTAACTTAATAATCTTTCAGTGAGACTTGGAAGCACTTAATTTGGATTTTTATAGATTTAATTATGAATTTTCAAAGTTGAGCAAAAATTCTGGAGATTCTACATGAACAGCACCCGCGAACCAAAATTTCCAGATTTGATCTTCTTGAATCTAAGGCCATCTAAAGTGGTCCTAATTGATAGGAAATAGATCATAAGGATGTAAAATGATAAGATTTATATTAGAAAAGTTAGAAAGAAAACCCTAAGACTAAGAGAAAGGGTTGAGGTTCAAGAGAGCTAGCTTTGAACTTTATGTCATCTAGTGGTCCTAATAGATTGTATGATCATTATGACTATGTTTAGGACCTTTGGAACATCCAAGAGGATGTTTGATGATGTTGACCGAAAGCTAACATGGTTGGAAAGTCAAGGGAGTCAAAGAAAAAGTAAGAGGAAAGCTTGAGGTGCAAGGTAGTGAATTTACCCTTTATGTGCTTGACATGGTATGCTTATGTGTTGGTTTGTATTTGTTGTTTGAATGATGTTGTGACATGATGATTGTTGCTGGAAATGCTATTTTTAATATGTTCCCATGGCCATGCATTTTTATACCAAGCATAAAGTATGATGGCATGTCACTAGTTAATTTAAGTTTATGAAAAACTACATACCATACACTAGCATCCATCTTGTGCATGTATGTGGTAATGTTTGCTACTGAGATTCCCCCAAATCTCACCCCCTCCCTAACCAACCATTTAGGTCAATCAATGGTGGGCACTAATGGCATGAGAAGCAAGGAGAAGAAGTGGAGAGTTATTGATGCTAATGATTGATATTATTATTCAATGTATAATTCTCCTATGTTAAGACTTATGTTGTGAATGCCATGTATTTAATTATAAAGCTTATGGTGTGTATAGGAATGTATGAGCATGAATGGGAAAAAGTAAGCCCATGTTAGGTATGCCAAAGAAATAAAAAGAATTAAAGTAAAGAAATGTTAAGGGATAAAACGTAGGTCATAGAGCAGTTAGTTTCAAGCTTCAGTTTGACCTATCATATGAATGAGTTAAGCTACGAAATTTGGTATAATTATAGTACACATCCCAAGCTTTAAAATGAGTGGTAAATCACCTCATTTGGATGTGTATACGAAGAGATATGAATTTTCAAAGTTAAGGCGCAGAATCTGGAAAGTCCAGATTTTACCAAACGAATAGTAATCTTAATCCAACAAACTGTATGTTTTCAATGAGGATGAGTTTAGTTGAATATTTTTCCCTTAAAGAGTATTGAAAGAGCTTTCCGTAGAATTTTGGGACACCTCCATACGATTTTTCTAGAATTAGTTATGATTTTTCAAAGTTGGACCTGTAATCTGAAAACTGGACAGTGAACAGTAATTTTCCGAAAATTAACGTCCAAATTGAAATTTTTAAGCTTAAGACCATCCAAAGTGGTCTGGAATGGTTCTAAATGAATGCTAAGGTATTATATAAGTAAGGTGCGACAGCTAACGTTTGTCGTCTTCTATTAGTCCTTATAAAAAGTTCCATCCAAGCAAATATGTAAGTATTATGAGGGAAAACACTCAATCCATATTGTAAAAAGAGTAAGTAAATAAAATTTTAATATAAATAAGGGTAAATGACACAAGAAAGAACTTCAAAAATACTAAACCCCAATTTAGGAGGCTGACAATTCATAATACATTAAAGGAAACTAAAATGGCATTTTAAAATTAAATAGAAATAATACAAATGCCCCTTAATTGAAAAAACTACCAAATTTAAGGATGGCTATTAGGTCACCAATACTTTATTATTAATATGATGCCAAAAAAATTATAAGTCACTAAAAAAAACAGCTAATTATCGACAGAATTAGTGACGGAATAATTTCCGTTGCTAATTTTTGACGGATTACCCACGAAAATTTCATTGCTAAACTTAGCCACGGAATTTAATTTGTAGCTAATTAGTCACGGAATTTTTTCCGTCAGAAAATTCCGTAGCTAAACTTTTATAATTAAAATTACCCACGGAATTAGTCCGAAATTTTTTCCATCAGAAAATTCTATGGCTAATTCCATGGTTAAAATTTTATAATTAAAATTAGCCACAAAATTTTTCCATTAGAAAATTCCGTGACTAAAATTTTATAATTACGATTTGCGACGGAATACTTTTCTGTGGCTAATTTAGCCACAAATTAGCGACAGAAAATTATTCTGTCATTAATTTCCGTGGCTAATTTCATGGCTAAAATATAATATTTAATATAATATAATATAATATAATAATATAATAAATATATAATTAAATTATATATCTTATGAATATTAAATAAAATAATTAAATTTAAAAAATATATTTATGAAAAAATTATTTACTATTTAAAATTCAAAATTTTAGCGTCATTGGAAATTAATACTATATTTAAAATAATTTTTTTTAAAAATAAAGCACAATAAAATAAATAGTAAAACAAATATCTAAAAATTATTTTGTTACAAAAATAGTTATGATTAAAATTATCATATAGTTTATTTTTAGTTTCTAATAATACATATGTGTATATATAATTATTTGTGTAAGAGAATATTATATATATATATATATATTAATTTTGCATAATAAGTCAGTAAGTTCATTGCAGCTCAACTGGTGAAGTCGAGCGCGTGCACAAACGAGGTTTTTAGTTCGAGCCGTGGAAAAGTCACTTTGAGGAGGAATTATATGGTGGCGACATGTGGTAATACAAGGTAGCATGTGAGATAGCGACACGTGGTGGCAGAGGTGAGGTGGCAGGGACATGTGGAGATGAGGTCGTGACACGTGGCGACGGAGGTGAGGTGGCAATGACACGTGGCGGCAGAGGTGAGGTGAAAATGACATGTGGCGGTGAAGGTGAGGTGGCAGCGACACATGGAGATGAGGTGTTGACATGTGGCGGCCAAGGTGAGGTGGCATTTTAATTTTTTTAAAAAAATAATATATTAGCAACGGAATTGAAATTCTGTCAGTAATTAGCGACAGAATTGAAATTCCGGTTTTTAATATAAGAGTTTATTTGACTTTTAATTTAATCTTAAATGTAAGACTCCAATCCACTTTATCTCTCATATTTATTTATTTCTCCCAAAGTAGTTCTTATTATAGTTGCACATGTTAAATGTTTTGTCAAATAACGCTTGATTAGCAAAAGTATTTTAGAAAAGATAATACTTATTTATTACAAATAACTAACTAACTAGTTTTTTTAAATCTACTCAAATTAGTTAACTAACTCTTATATTAAGAACAAGAGATACTACTACAACAATAACAATAATTTTGACATGCTAAGTAAAGTCGACTACAACAAGAATCACACAGTATTATTGTACTTTAACCTAGATCAATTCTTCCAATAAGTCATTAATGAAGAGATCTTGATCAATCTAATGCTAACCTCATCCCAAGTCCCGTGCCCAGTATTATCGTCGTCCGTCAAAAATCTAAAAGAAAATGGCACAAGGACAATATTAAATTATTAATGGTATTGCTTTTAGATGTATATCTTTTTTTTTTTTATTGCAGTATCATTTTCTTTCTACCTAACAGCCATATATCTAATTTATTTACATATTTTAAGAAAAAATGGGGATCAATTCCTCGTTAAAAAATTTATTTGTAAATGGTCCTTATGATGGATTGCATTAGAAAAATAAATTACACACAAGAGAAGTTAAATTGTGTAAAAAAAAAAATGGTTTGCACAAAACATTAGGATTAATTTGCATATAGAGAAAATAGGTTCCTCACAAAAAAAAAAAAAATCAGTTGCGTAAAGGGAAAATATCTCACAAACAAAGATGACTGCACATAAAAAAAGTTATAAGTTGTACAAAGTGTTTAAGGATCATTTGTCAATTAATTTCTCGCTAAGAAATTCATCTCTAATTTTCTCCTTCTAATATTAACAAAGTGTTTTTCTCTTATAATATATACTAGCAATTAGAAATATCTTTTACTTAAAATAGATGTTATTACCATTTATCTTTTACTCCCTCCCATCTTTATTATATTTAAGCACCTAATAATAACTTTACATTAAATAATGAATTTAGTAAAAATTAGTTATTTCTTATAAAAGTATTAAAATTATTCTCCATAAAACTTATTAGTTATGAAGTAAAATGAAAAAATTAAAACAACAAAAAGGTAGGCTGGTATGATGAACTATATCCTCTGCGAGCCTCGCTCTCGTTATAATGCAAAGACGATGAAATGAAGCACAACTTTATAGTCAACGACCGATTAAGGTCGTAGACTGGGCTTAAGATGAACCAAATTCAAGATCCAAAATGAAGAACATACTATCATCAATGAACAACAACAAAGAGGAATACACTTGTTCAATAATACCTATAAAGTCAAGTCTACAACCTTAAAACCGAAAAAAGGTTTTATTTCCCAAGTTTCTGTCGCATATAAAAAAGCTAAATAAACACTGAATTATGAATGATTTTCAGAAGCATACCATGCCTAGAAGAATTCAAATAGAAGTAGGGTCAATAGGCAAACCTTTTGGGACTTGGCCACGACTTATGGGATCCCCCAAAGAAATCCAAAAGGGAAGTTTCAATATCACAAACATTGTATTTGATGTGTTTGTCACCTACGTAACTATAATACTTCCTTAAGAATGTCTGATAAGCATGAACTAGCTTTTGGGATATAGAGATCCGCATGCCCTCACGCAATAAATGATCTGGGATCACCCAAGCAGTTTGGATCCTGTAAATATCCTCAAAGGCAACATAGAAGTTCCTCAATATAGTCTTGAGAAGATTGTGTGACCTAGATAATTGAATTCTCTCATCACTAAGCAAAGAGAGAACCGAACTCCAACTTGTTTGCTCATAGTTCCATGCATGTTGCTGGTACTTGTAGATGCACTTTCGAACCCATTCATCTCCAAAAATATGCTTCAGTTGAGATTCTTGGACCCTTTGAGCCATATAATGCATATTGTTCATTAAGAACAATTGTTGGCAAGCAGCGTCCTTATATAACCTGGACTTGTTCTCAAGCTTCAGTTCCAAGATTGAAGTGATTGATCGAAAGTGGATTGTGACTGAGGAAACACTGCTATGTGAAGATCCCAGGATGTCACTATCTTGCGATGTGTCATGGCTCATTGATGGGTACAGTGAAATATCATACTCTAATTCCTCTTCACCATTCAGTATATTAAGGGTGTTATTGTAGTCCAAGAGATAGCTAATATAGCTCATGACATAATAGGTCAAAGGATGAATCCCACCACCAGGGAAAGGAGATCGAGATGGATTTGATGCAATGACATTTTTAAATTCAAGAAATATTGACCCCACACAAGCACCTAATCTATTTAGAACCATTTGACACTTGATTCTAACTGGAAAACCAACCTTACCTGAATACATGGCATCTAGGTCTAGTATAAGATCTGCCAGAACTTGGTACATGTCAAGAAAACGAAATATTCTCTCAGGATTATGAGGGCCAATAGATATAGCTTCACAAAATTCTAGAAACCACATTATTAAAGCCTTTGATGCACCAACAAAACAAATCAAACTGGCCTCATCAGTGTCTCCAAAAATCTGCTCACTAAGCCACTTTTCCCTTGCAAGATACACCCTAACAAATATTTTTACTTGATAAATCCATCCTTTGATTTTGGAGTTCAAACTATCCCATTCCATTTTTGAAACATTTTCAATGCTCAGTCTTTCTGTTTCAAGGTGAAGCAGACACTCATTTAAGGCTTGCCTTCGAATATTTGTGTAGCCATTGTAACATTCTCGGCTATAGTCTAACACAAACATTAAGTTTGCAATACATTTAATATCTTGGAGCAGTTCTGGACAGACTAAATCCAAGATGTGCTTTTCTGATGTTCTGCTGAAACTACCTCTTCTGATTCCACCAATGGTATCCTCTAATTCACTGGACTGAAAGGAGATAGATTTATGATCAAAAGGATGCCTATTTTGAACTAGAAATTGCTTGAACTCATCCTTGATTTGTGCCTTATTTGTTAGAATTTTGAGATCCATCAGCACAAAATTGTACCCTTGTTCCTCTATGTTCAAATGCAGCATACTCTCTAATGATTCAATCAATTGGTGAGACGTGACAACTACATTATTCAGATCTTTTGACTTCAAAATCATGGAGTGATCTTCCTTCCATCTCCTTATTTTCCTTAGAATGGCATTATACTTACTTTGGATCAAGCAATTTCGCCCTTCCTTCCTCTCACTTAATTTGGAGATGCAGCAAAAGTTCGGGCCAATATCTGCCACAACAAAAATATTTCATATGCAAGATGTATGCCAATTATAACCATCATCTATAGTTTTTTCAACTACTGGGAAAGAGGTTGATATTTCTTACATCATCATAACAAGTAAATCTTGTAATAAACTATATAGGACATCATACAAGAAAACACTAATCCTAATAAAGCCAAATTATGAGTTAAATGCAAAGCCAACATGCATAATAGCTCATATATAAAGGGATAGAATATCAATGAAAGTGTACAAAGAAAAAGGACGATAGATACCTTGATAACTTGTGCTGTTCTGAGTTAATTCTGCATAATTAGTTGATTTTGAATCTTGACTCATAGCATCTTTTGATTGTTCTGAATCTTTTGGCTGTTGAATTAGCTTCCATGGATAATAATCAATGCATGCTTTAGGGTTCATGAACTCAATATTCTCAACATTATTTCCTTGCTTGTGCACATGAACTGCAAAATAAACTTCCCTTTTGCTTCTACTTCTTGAGTTTTGTTCTCAATGGAAACCTTGACATGATTCCATTTATCCATATGGGAGAGTTGAAGCTTGCGAATTATGCTTTGCAGATCACTAAGATATATGTGATATCTTTTCATTGTGGAGAGTGAAAACCATCCAGAAGAAATTTCTTGTACAATGTCATTGACGCGTACAGAGAATTTATAGTCACATAGAGAAACTTGGTCATCTTTTACAAGGATCCATATATAAATATTTGGCAATTCATTACGAACCCAAAAAGATAGTGAATTTCCACAACTATATTTGTCAAGCCATTCTGGGATATTTTTTCCCGGCAAAATGAAGTTTCTTTTCCCTGGATATTGGTGAATTTCCTGAGAAGAATTAACAATCATCAAAAATTGATCATTTATAAATAGAAAAAAAAGGAAAAGAAATAGAGACCTGATTCAATAACATCCTTCTTGACGGCTCGCTCAACAATGTGCAATGCAAGGCACTGAATTTTTCTAGCTTTTGTGGAATCCCTTTAATATGTTGAAGCATATTGCAATTATCCAAGGAAAGATACTTCAAACTGTGACATTCCTTGATAGATGCAGGAAGAGTTGTGAAATTATTATAACTTAGATCTAACTGTATCAAATTAGGGAAGTAAGAGAGACAAAAGTCAAGAGAATCATTTGATAGATTGCAATTTGAGAAACAAACATGTTCCAATTTCATAGGTATGGCTGAGTAGTGTATGCATACTTCTCTTTCACTTTCACACATCTTAAAATGTCTCAACTCTTCACAAAAGTTTGCTGTTATTGTCCATAGGTTTGGCATCATACAAATGACAACTGGCAACTGTTTGAGATTATGACACTCATCCATGTTTAAGCTTTCAAGCCCAGTCAGATTGCAAATGGAAGATGGCAATTCTGCTATGGCTGTCTTATCCAAATCAATTGTTCTTATTTTCCTCATTTCGTCTAATATTTCTGGGAACCTTTGAAGACTTAAACACCCATAAAGGTTGAGATGTTCAAGAGATGTCAACTTAATACCAACTGGTAAGATCCTCAAGTTTTTGCATCGCATGGCACTAAATTCTCTAAGCTTATCCAAAAATCCAACTGAATCATGAATTTCAATTAAGTTTGTACAATTATCGAGCCATAATTCTATCAAATTGGAAACTCCAGACAAATCTGGTATTTGTCTTAACAACTTGCAATTTCTAAAATCCATGCAAGTTAGGCTCTCGAACTTCTGCAAAATAAAGAAAAATTTATTCTTAAAATCAAAATGAAATCAAAAAAAAGAAAGAAAGAAAGCTCATTCTAATACATCATACACATACCCTATGAAGCGGTTGGAGTAATTCAATAGAACTATTGGATAGGTCAAGATGGATGAGCTTTGTTGGATGGAAATTAGATGGCAAAAATTTAGAAGGATACCCCTTCCATTCCAATACACTTAAAGTGTTTGGGAGGTATTCAGGACTTCTAGAAAAGTTTGCATTTTTAATCACAAGCATTTTGAGGTTTTTCATGTGCTTAAATGCCTCTCCATTCCATTGAACTTCTTTATCTTCAGGTAAGTCCAACATTATAGTTTCAATCTCATCAGATCCCTTTAAAAACAAAGAGAAAACATAATAAATATCATCATATGATTTATACAACTCATATAAGGAAAGGTTTAAAAAAAAACTACACCATATAAAGCAATCTTACTGTATTTTCTTGTAAAACATGAAGAATGTCATCATAGAACCATAATCTATCCCGTTTTCCAGGCTCCTTTGGTGACTTTTGCCGAACAATTTCTTTGCCCATATCTTCTATCATGTCATGCATTGTCACACGATTTTCTTCAACCTTCACAAGGGATTTATCCGTAAGTACCCCAATAATATACTCTGGATGAACTCCTCGAAAATTAAGCAATGTTTTTATGACATCTAACTTTTCACCTTTGAAAAAGCATGCCAAGTCAAGGAAAATCTCCTTCTCTCTATCCTCTAAAGCATCAAAGCTTAATTTCAAGACTTCAAAAACTTGTTTATTTGGTATTTTTTGGTATTTATCAAATGCATATTTCCATTCATCAGTCCTTTTTCCACATAAAGCAGAGCCAATTACTTCCAAGGCTAGTGGAAGGCCACGTGAATAAAGTATTGCATGACTTGAAATATCAAGGTAACTAGAATCCATATTTTCCTTTTTCAAGGCATTCCAACTGAACAGCTGAAGAGCTTCTTCATTATTTAATTTTTTGACTTCATAAATTCTTTCAACTCCATGACATACCAACAAATGCTTATTTCTAGTCGTAATTATGATTCTACTTCCAAAACCAAACCAATCACAACTTCCAGCTAGAACTTGTAGTTGCTCCAATTTGTCAACATCATCAATAACTAAAAGGATCTTCTTTTGACAAAGCCTATGTTCTATGATTGAAATTCCTTCATAGATATCTCCCAATTTAAGATATTTCTCACTGACTAATTTGCATAATAGTGTCTCTTGAAGATGTGGCAAGCCATACTTGTTCGAGGTTTCTCTAACATTAGAAAGAAAACATAAACCATCAAAATGATCAGCAATTGAGTTATACACAGCCCTTGCAATAGTTGATTTGCCTAATCCGCCAATGCCACAAATTCCAACCATGTTGACTTCTTTATTGGACCAAAGATCTAAAAGTGACATTACTTCCTGCACCCGGGGCACAAGTCCAACTGGATAATTGGTAACATGTAACGGTTTGCGATTGATTTTTGCAGAGACTTCACAAGTGATCCTTCTAATATATTCTTGTTCTTTTGCAATCCTGCCCATGATAAATTATCAATATCATTTATTCAAACCCAAGATAGTGGTATGCCCATTATAAAATGAAATAAAATACTACATTTGGTTATAAATACAAGAACTACATAACTAATTTGAGAAAATTGAAAAAATTAGTTTAATTGATTAATTGTAGCAAATATGTGTTAACTTTTCAAAACTATCCTTTTAAATAATCATGGGCATTGAAACTCTCTTTTGGTAAGAATCTCTTGTAACCAATAGGGATGTTTCAAAGAAAACATTGTAAATTTGAAAGATAAAATGAATTGAGGTGTTATATTTAAGACCGAATTTAATTTTCAATTAGTTCTTCTAAGGATTGGAGGTAGTATAATGAAAAACAAAAATGATATGGTGAATAAAAACATTGTTTACTCTAAATTAAAAATAAACTATATAATTACTCCGTATATGCTAAATATACGAGCAACAAATTATCTTATACACAATTTGTTATTCTGTCTAAATTAAAATTTTAAAGAATAAAAAAATTAACTAGGTAGCAGAACTACCTTTGGATATTTCCCATTACTTTCATATATCTAGATGCTTTATTTTAGGTTTTTAGCACCCTAATTTGGTCAATTTGGACCTGTATGTCCATAATTATGATCAAGGATATTGAGGATTTTAATGCTTAATAGTGTATTTTTCTTGAGTTTTAACTCCTATTATTTTAATTCCCTTAAATATATGATATGCATGATACTATTTTTATTTGTTAGTGAAATTGGAATGCTTGGACACAACTTGTATCAATTGAGCATTTGGTAGCGCAAAGATTGGTTATCATGAAGAGGATTGGAGATTTGATGGAACCAATTTAAATACTCAATCGCAGATGAGCACCATAATGTTTATCATTACGGTAAAATCTAAATCATTCAAGATCAGTATTAATGTTTTAAATTTAAAATTTTAACTAGTAATTTTTAAATCAAAATTTATTTTTTAAAAAACTTGCAGTTAAAAGATTAGATTTATTTTAGATTATGTACCTATAAAAAATATTTTTTGAAAAACAAAAATATTAAATATTAAATCTCAGCCATCTAGATTAAATTTGAATGGTTGAGATTTAATGAGGATCATAGTACTCATTATTACTGTGAGCACTGAAATTGGTTCCGAGATTTGACATTGACACGAGAGGATATTGGTTTAAAATTGGGACACATAAAATTTGTAGATTAGTTTTCATTTATTCCTCTATCTGAATTTATTTATAAATTAGCCAAAGAGAAGATTTCTTAACTCCTATTTGTTTAGTCATGTCATTAAATTTTCATATGAATGTATAATTTTACTCTTCATTTGATTATTGCATAAACTTTGTATTCTTGGGATAAATTATATATTAAATAAGGTTAATGTGAGGATTTATTTAGAAAGCTTTTACTTAGGAGTGCTAGGTATTTGGAAGTTTTTTCTGGATTCAATATGGCCCTAAAAGTTTACAAATCAAATTGATTTTGTGCCAGCCGTTATCTAGATTAAGTTTGACTATTAGTTAACCAAATATGCTGAGCTAACAGCCTATGTGTCATTCACGTTATTCTTGTTAAGATATAAATTTGTCCTAGAAGTTTTCACTTAAGAGCATTGGGTCTTCATAATTTTTTGGATTTAATGTCAACCTATAAGTTTTTAAATTGTAGCAATGTCACTTTAGCTATTATTTATGTTAAATTTGACTCTTAATTTACCAAATATGCTAAGTTAGCAGAATGAACAACAGTGAAAGAAAAAAGAGAGAAGAAGGAGCCGCAGCTCGTCAGAGAGTAACGAAAAGGAAGATTTGATTGCTAGATGCATGACACGTTGACAGAGACTGTCAAGAGCAAGGCCGCCAACAATCCTCCGTCACCATATATTGCAACAATGCCAAGATAGGTGAGTACCTTTTTATTTTCTCTTTGCCACACAAGATGCTTTAACCTCTTTGAATTTATGCAGTTTTTTGATGTGGGATGCAATTTTTTAAAAAATATTTTTTCTCATCCTTGAATCTTACTTGCAAAAAAATGAAATGGATGACATGAGGACTTGTCATATCAGCATATTTGGTCAATTAATAGTCATATCTAACCTAAATAACAACCAGGGTGAAATTGATATAATTTCAAAAACTTAATACCTAGTACTCCTAACTAAAACTTTCAAAAAACAATTTGCTTCTTAAAACAAAAATGACATAGACAACATGCAGACTTACCAATTCAGCATATTTGGTCAATTAACGATCAAATTTAACTAGAATAATGACTAAGATGAAATTGCTACAATTTGGAAGCTTCTAGGATGATATTAAATCTAAAAGATTTTTGAATATCCAATACTCATATAAAAACTTTTAAAATAAATTTATACCTTAATCCTATTTTTTTCCTTATAGTTCCAAATCCACCTTTTTGGCTATACCTTCCATCCTCCCCCTATTTTCTTACATCATATGTCGCACGCCTGGTTTTTCTTACCTTTCTCACCACATAAAAAATAAAAACTGAATTGGGCCAACCAACACAAATTCAAAATCAAATCTACATCTATTTTCAATTTTTTGTTTTTAACTACAAAGGGATAATTTAGTCTTTTAACACACTACAAAAAAACAATACTTTCAACGAATCGCTGCTGAAAGTATCCCATTCGGCGCCAACAAAAAAAATTTGCAACTGAAGGTCTCATAATATTCAGCAACAATTTTTTTTGGTCACCAATGAAAGTCTTTGAAGGGTACACATTTAGTAACGATTTTCTAGAGTCATCGATAAATGCCTCACTAAGTGAAATTTTTTTTCACAACTGAAAGACATACATTCAACAGTGACTTTCTAGAGTCATCGGCAAAGGGCATACTTTCAGCAACGATTAATAGTGTTGCTGTTGAAAGTCTCTAAGGGTATACACTCAGCCACAAACATTTAGCGACGTTTGTAGATGTTCTCACTTTTAGCAATGACTTTAGAAAATCGGTACAATTTAATAATATATTTTAGTTTAAATTATATATTTAGTCTTTTAACTTTATATAAGATTTTAATTTGGTCCTTTAATGTTAAAAAGTATATTTTTTGTCCTTTAATCTTAAAATCATTAGGCTAAAATAATAATTTCTTGTAAAAATTATGGTTGTTTTGAAAATTAAACTTAATATGTTAGCATTTGAGAATGTTTTATCAATATTAAAAATTTCAATGTCATAATTGTATTGTTAATAGATTTAGAGTTAAATGACCAAAGTATACTTTTTAAAGCTAAAGAACCAAATTGAATTTTTTTAAAAAATTAAATGACTAAATATATACTTTAGCTTATATTTTATTTTACAATAACAATAAGTAAATTCAATCCAACTCAATAGTAAGAAGATTTGACCCAAAAGAAGGTAGTCATGAATTCAAACTTTGAAAACCACATTTATGCTGAAAATATTGGGGCGATGAGGTGGCGGCAAAGTGGCGACGTGGCATGAGAATGGTGATACTTTTAGTGTGACTTCTTTGTGACTGCTAAAAGACACTTTCAACTTCTTTGTGACTAGAGCTGGTAATACGGGCTAGCCCGCCTGTTACAGGCTGGCCCATGACGGGCTTGAAGCCCGAGGGGTCAGTCTTTTTAGGACTGACTTCTGGCAGGCTGGAATTTTTCCAACTCGGCCTATCAGAGTGGGTTGGCAGGTTAGGCGTGCCAACCTGCTAGTTTTATAATTTTTTTTTTATTTTTTTCATTTAATAAAATCTACTCAAATTGCTAAATACCTAAAATAAAACATGCAAATAAAAATTATCATAAATAAAACATGAAATCTAAGGTTTCAACTTTCAAATATCTCAAAATATTAAACATAAGATTACATGATATGTCATAAATGATTTAACAAACATTGCAAATTAAACTATAAATCCAAATCAACAACACCACAAAGTCATAAACACAATGTGTCACTACACAAATCACTATCAGGTGCTCAATCATGAGCCATCACTAAATATTGATAGGGTTTCAAAGAGGAAAATTAAAAAAAAAAAAAGTAAAACAGACTGGCCCGCCAACCCTGCAGGTTAGCTCGCCGTGGGTTTGGTCTTGGTGGTTATAGGCTCAAAATATTCGTTTTAAAACAGTCTCAATTTTTATCAACCCAACCCACCACTTTTTGGAGGGTTGGCTGGTTGAGCTCACCGGCTCTATTTGTGGCAGCTCAAAGATAATTTCAGAGGTGATACTCGTCACCACCAAAAGTGTCTTTGATTAAAATTATAAATAAGTAAAAAATTGTTACTAAAACTTTTCAACCACAAGTGCTATTGCTATAACAACGACCTTTTAGCAATTTTTGCTAGTGACAACATACATAAATTATTATTTGTATTTTTTCTCTGCATTTGTAAAAATCTAAAATAATTTGTATAAGAATAAAACAAGTTGTTCTTTACATCATTAATATATAAGTGGTCGAATATTCTAAAGTAATTTATATAGGTCTAAAATAAGTTTTTATTTATAATCCAAACATGCAGTTAAGTTAAAATATGATGTGTTTTCCCTGTTTGGTTTTTTTATTTTGTTACCAGTGTTAATAGAACCAAGTTTTATGCAAGATTTCATAAAGAAACGTTTAAAGTGTATATCTCAAAGGGAAAAAAAATCAGACCGAACCGACCCATTCAATCAAAAAATCAATAAACCAGTTGGTAGTCCAGTTTAGTTGAGTTGTTGAATCGGGCAGGAGTTGAACTAATATCGAACTGGTCAAATTGGGACGAAGGTGGTCCAGTTTGGTTTAATTGTTGAACCAAGCAAGAGTTGAACTAGTATTGAACTGGTCAAATCGGGACAAACCGATGAAAACCAGTGTGAATCGGTGATGAGTCGATTTAGATGATTATACTACTATTAGTTCTATTTTTTTTTATATTTAGCTCTTAATATCTCATTCATTATAGATTTGAATGAATTTTAATGGTTATTCTGGTA